TAATTTTCGAAAAGAACGAAAAAGAATAAACTGGTGGTGATCTCTCTCTCTCTCTCTCTCTCTCCCTCTAATTTTTAATCGAAAAAAGAAAGAAAGAAAGAAAGAAAGCGAAATTCGATATATTATATCCTCTCGTTATTCACTATAATATAATTTCGAAAAGAACGAAAAAGAATAAACTGGTGGTGATCTCTCTCCCTCTAATTTTTAATTGAAAAAAGAAAGAAAGAAAGAAAGAAAGAAAGAAATATTCGCGCTTATTTCAGGGAAATAAGCGTCCACAAGGGTTGGAGAGGACGAGATAAGCGAAGATAAGCGAAGCGAATGAATGGAACAAGAGAAAAGAGCGAGGAGATCGCGTGGATCAATCGGTAGCCCATTCGTTAAATCGTAGAGACGCGTCGGTTACGGTTCGCTCGAAGCCGCCAATATATATATATATATACACGTTGCCCGATGAATAGGCCGTGTTTGCATAGGTCCCGAGGTGCGGCGGGCGTTGTCAGGGATGCTAGCTCTTTGGAAAGGGAGGAGGACCGATGATGCGCGCACGAGCATCGTTCACGATGGGGTAGAGAAACGAAGGGGGAAGGAAGGAAAGAGAGAAAGGAAGGAAGGAAGAAAGAAGGAAGGAAGGAAGGAAGGAAGGAAGGAAGGAAGGAAGGAAGGCCGCGGCATTCGCCCCTGTGTACACTCAGCTGTCGGCCTCTTTTTACCCCGCGTTCCTTCCAACCCTCTGAACACCGCGGCTCGCTCGATTCGAAACGGCTCGAGAGATACTAGTTTTGCCGCTCTTTGGAAAAATTCTTTTTAACGAGATAAACAAGAAGGAAAGGAAAGGAACGCGGTGTAAGGAAAATTGGGTAGGAAGGGGGAGAGAATGAAGGAAAGAGCGGGGGTTGAGAAAAGAGTCGTCGAGGGGGCGGTCGTGGAAAGTGGTCGTGAACGATAATACTCGGGAGGTGCTCCCTGGTGCTCGCTCGCGGATAAAGGCTTTTCGGGACGAGTGAGAAACGAATCGACGGGGGTGGAGGAGGGGGAGGAGGAGAGGCGCCGCTTTCGAAGGGCGGAGAGGGACGGATATAGGTTGTAAGTGAATTTTATTGCGCGATTATATTGAATCCCTCCGAGCCACCAGCCGCTGTCAAACTCCACCCTCGTTGTTCCACCCTTGCGGAGATGGTGCCGATGCGGTGCTCAAACCCGGTTTTCGAACCTTCAAATTCGCCAAACGTTTTCACTTTTCGCTTTTCTCCCCATCTCTTTATTTATCCCTCCCTTCCCTTGTATTGCGTTCCATTGTATTTTATCATTATTCGACGAATATTTTTTTCACAGGCTTACAAGCCTACAGAAATTTTCGAAATAGGCGTGCAAATCTTGAAACGTTATTAAACGTTATTAATAAGAATTTTAATTCGTTTTGTAATTTCGAGATCGTTTAATTCGTTCGAGGAATTGAACTCGATCAGGAAGTTGAAACGAGAGGGATAGGCGGGAATGGAAAGGAGAGGAAGAGGCATTTTGAGGGGGGAGGGGGATAAAACTGGGGAATCTCTGTTGGACGGGTGAGCACCACTTTTGAGTCTCGAGGGTTGCGCGGCGGTAGTTACCGGCGGCGGATACCAAATCGAAGCTCTTGCCCACAGGGATGTTTGCACGTTGGATCACGACCTCCATGGCAAAATTCACCATAGCAAAACCTTGCTATTCCCACCGGCACGAGACTCGCCTCGAAGGCTCGGCTTTCCACCCCCTCCTTTCCATCCGTTCGATATTTTCGATCCCTTCGATCCTTCGTGCCTTTTCTCGTTTCACCGATCGCTCTCAAACCTGCGCTCTTTTTTCCAGATTTAATATCGTGCTCGCTTCGTAGAGAAGATTTTGACGAAAAAAAAAAAAAAAAAAAGAACTCGATTCGACGTTGTCATCTTTCACTTTTTCTTATAATAAGAAGCAACAAATCGTTTGTTCGATGTTCGAGACGGAGGAAGAGGAAGGGGTGAAAAGAGTGGAATATATTTCGAAAGAGGGGTAAGGAGGGGAGAGAGGATCGGGGGAAATTAGGCATGGAGGCTCGTGGCTCGGCGACGAGATCTGATAGTTTTGCTCGGCTGAGTGCTGCTCGTCTTATCCCCGAGGACAGGAGGAAGAAGAAGGTTCCCCGGCACGATCTTATTGGCCCTCCTTGAAAGAGGAGCAGCCAGTTGCTCCCTCGAGACGGAGCGCGGAACGGGGAGGGAAAAAGATGGTCGAGTTGAATTAATTCCTCGACTATCGTTTCCTCCGCTCCTTCGTTACGGACCGGCTTCAAATGTAATCGCCGCTCTTCTTTTCATCCTCTTCCACCTCATCGCGACCGTCATCTCGAGTGTTTGGTCCGTTTCTTTCTTTCCTTCTTTCTCTCTTTCTTTTCGCAACGATTCGGAATTCGATCGATTCGAAAAGGAGGAATCACTCCATCCCGTCAAATCTTCCGTCGAATATTTAGGGGACGGTGAATTTCGTATGATTTTTAATAATATTGATAAATTAATAATATAATTTTAATAAATTAATAATATTCGGATCAGATGTTTCTTTCTTTCCTTCTTTCCTTCTTTCCTTTTTTCCTTCTTTCCTTCTTTTCTTCTTTTCTTCTTTCTTTCTTTCCTTCTTTCCTTTTGTCCTTCTGTCCTTCTTTCTTTCTTTCCTTCTTTTCTTCTTTCCTTCTTTCTCTCTTTCCTTCTTTTCTTCTTTCCTTCTTTCCTTCTGTCCTTCTTTCCTTCTTTTCTTCTTTTCTTCTTTCCTTCTTTCCTTTTTTCCTTCTTTCCTTCTGTCCTTCTTTCCTTCTTTTCTTCTTTCTCTCTTTCCTTCTTTTCTTCTTCCTTCTTTCTTTCTTTCTTTTCACGACGTTTCAGAATTCATTCGATTTGAAAAGGAGAAATCATTCCACCCCATTAAATGTTTCGCCGCATCGAATATTCGGTGGATTTCGTATGATTTTTAATAAACTCGAACCGGACAGCCAGATGTACGTTTCTTTCTTTCCTTCCTTCCTTCCTTCCTTCTTTCTTTTCGCAACGTTTCAGAATTCGATCGATTCGAAAAGGAGGAACCACTCCACCCCGTCAAATCTTCCGCCGCGTGGAATATTAGGGGCGGTAGATTTCGTATGATATTTAATAACATCAATAAATTAATAATATAATTTTAATAAATTAATAATATTCGGATCAGATGTTTCTTTCTTTCCTTTTTTCCTTCTTTCCTTCTTTCCTTTTTTCCTTTTTTCCTTTTTTCCTTCTTTCCTTCTGTCCTCCTTTCTTCTTTCCTTCTTTCCTTTTTTCCTTCTTTCCTTCTGTCCTTCTTTCCTTCTATCCTTCTTTCTTTCTGTCCTTCTTTCCTTTTGTCCTTCTTTTCTTCTGACCTACTTTCCTTCTGTCCTTTCCTTCTTTTCTTCTTTCTCTCTTTCCTTCTTTTCTTCTTTCTCTCTTTCCTTTTCTTCTTTCTTCTTTCTTTCTTTTTTTCGCAACGTTTCAGAATTCGATCGATTCGAAAAGGAGAAACCACTCCACCCCGTCAAATCTTTCGCCGCGTGGAATATTCGGGGGGCGGTGGATTTCGTATGATTTTTAATAAACACCCGTATCGGACAGCCAGATGTACCGCACGCCCACTTGACTCGCGGCTCGAAACAGCGGAAGAGAGAGAGAGAGAGAGAAAGAGAGGGAGAGGGAGAGGGAGAAAGAGCACTCGCTCGCGTACGGCTTAAACCACTCGATGAGCACAAAACTGACGGACGGACAGGCCCTGCATCGAACATATTACGTTCGAAGCACGTGGAACAAAGCTACGCCATTGTTTCGTGCCGTCAATAATCCACTTGGCCCGACTTGGAGGACCGGCCAGGGGGCGGCACAATTGGAAAAAGCGGCGTGGAAACCCGGAAACCGATGCCCCACGGGGGTCCGTCATCCCAGAGAGGAGAAAGAAAGGACAGAGAGAGAGAGAGGGAAGAAGCATTCGATTCCTAGCACGAATCAAGCCCTCCAAGATAGTGGAAAAGATTCCCCTTCTCTTCCTTCGCTTCCTTCCTTGCCTCAGATTTTCTCCTTCTCGACAATTTTCTTAACAAACCTTGAAAATTTTGGAGACGGCCTCCACTCGAAAAGAAAAGAAAATTTATATTCCAAATGGAATCTGGTAGAATAATCGTAATTGCATTTACAACCTTATCTACCTTCGTTTCCAGAATGCCAAGCACGAACGTTCGTAAGGAATTGTTTAGCCTCTCCCTCCAAATTTACTCGTCAACCTTCGAATTCCGAATTCTGCTGCTTCCGAAAACCAGCGAAATGGCGAAAAGAAGGATTCTCCTCGTTTCGAAGAAGGGTTTCGCGACGAAAAGCGGGGAATTAATTAACCGTGGAAGGTCTGGTCGAGCAAATATGGCGGTTGGATATCGGTCCCGTCCGAGGAATCGAGTCTCTAAGCGGCGGCAATCGAATGATTAAAGGCGGCCTCGCCTGGATGCGCCTGGATAGGGCGAGATTCCCGACGGAAATCAGAGTCGCCACCCTCCTTCGCGAGAATCCTCAAAGTCGCTCCTTCTAAACCCTCTCGGCAAACATCGAGGAGTGCAACTGGAGGAATTCTGGAGGATATAACCGCGTGGCCAGGTATCCACGATTACTCGACCTGTTTTCGAAATTTTTGGAGAGATCTCTCTCGGAGAGAGCGATTTCAATAAAGCTCGAGGCAAGAAAAATATATACATTTAAATTTGGATGATCGTTGGAAGAGAGAAACGAGAAATCGAGAAAAATGGCGAGTTGGAAGGAGGGAGGAGAAGGAAGGCCTGAAGGTAGCCGCTTGCGTGGAGCGAAAGATCTTTGGAATAATCGCAGGACTCGAGGCCAACTTCCGGTGAACGACGTGACAGGCTTGCGTCACCCTGGTGTCCTCCGTTACGTTCCTTCCCGGCCAATTCTCTAACCAGCCGAGGAGAGAAGATCGAGATGGTACGGAAATCGATCCTTGTGTACGACCTGCTCAGGACCGAGCAACCGGAAGAGGGTTTCACCGAGAAGGAGATCGTGGAGCAGATCAGTAACAAGCACGACATCATGCCCGGGAAAGCGCTTCGAAAGCAAGTGGCCGTGGCGCTTCGTCGTGGCGTCGATTTCGGCATCATAGCCAAGAAGAATAACAAATTTAGGTTCAAATCTATCGCGTTCTATCTTTTTTTTTTCCCCTCGCCGATCGGCGAAAATATATATATATACATGACTTTTCCTCGTGGAGCAGATTCGATCCCGACACAGCGAAAGGTAATGTCGCCAAGCGGACTTCCTTGAGGAGGAATACGAATCGAGGGAGGAACAAGAAGAAGAGCGCGAAGAAGGCGGCGAGGGCGAAGAACGAGCGAAAACGACCGGGCGAGAGAAAGAACGCGAAAAATCGTAATCAGAAACGGACCCTACCGCAACCAAAATTGCCAAAATCGTGGACACCGAATAGGAGAAACTTGGTCGACGAGCCCGTTTCGAAAGTGAAAAAAATTTAACTCGGCCTTTCGAATCTTTCGTTCTTTTTTTTTCTTTTTTTTTAAACGGTCCCTCGGTTTTAATTGTACGTTTTATACAAATATTTCTTAAGTATATATTTATAGAAATTTCTATTCCTCGCCTACTTTTTCTATTTTTATTAATCGTTTCGTCCGTCATTCTTTTCCTTTCGATTCAACATTTTCTTTTTTTTCTTCTTCGTCTTTTCAATTGATTTTTCATGATCACCTGTTATGAAATTACAGTAATTTCCTTCAAATGTGGTTTCCCATTTTACTTTGAAAAGAAAAAAAAAGATATTCTATTTTTCTAATTTTACAATCATCGTCGCTTCTTTCGTACGATTCTTCTTCGATACGAGAAAAGGAGGATCTCCACCTACAAAAAATTCCATCGAAAAGATTTCGAAAAAGAGGATCGAAGGTCGATCGAAATCCGTTCCCATGAAATCCACCTTCCGTCGTCAATAAATATATATATATATATATATATAAAAATCCTGTTAGCCGAAACTGCAACGATTCGTGAACTCGTAATCTTTCCAGAAACGATCGAAAAACGGTTGGAGCGTCTTGGGAACGTTTCAGAGGATCCGCTGACCGTCCGTCGATTAGACACGGCCACTACGCTCTTTTCGATCCTTCGAAAAGCCTGCCGCATCCAAGATTTTCCCTTTTTTGGGGTGGATAGTTTGGAAGGGAAGTGCGCGAAACCAAGCCGGATATACCATGAAAATGCGCGGAACGAATCGTTCGAGGCACGTTTGGAGGCACCTGTTATCGAAGCAACGAATTAGACGGAAGTTGGAAGCCTTCGTTTCCCTCTCCCCCTTTTCCAAGAGAATAAAATTTTTCTTTCGTATCATTGGCGAACACGAAATTCGAATCGGTATTTTCCACGCTCGAAACGGTCAGATTGGGGCAGATTGCGCGCGGGGATGTGGACGACGATAAGTGGACGCGTAGTCTTTTGTTCAAGAGATCGTGCAATATCGGGCTAATAGATCGATTCCCGTTAAGGGTCGATATGTCCAGAAGGGCGTGCGTGAAAGCGCCATGGATGACCACCATATGCTCCGTTATGGGCGTAATCCGTGCGCGACTTCGCGTGACTCGCGCGCTAATCAGCGATATTGGCGAACAAAGGGACGAATTTTTCGTGGAAAGCGACGCGTAATTGTAAAGTGGTTCTGTCGTCATGAAAGTGATTGGTAAGAATTGCATTAGAATAAAATTGTGGAAAAAAAAGAAAGAAAAATATATATATACAATTTTAATCTCAAAGAGAGACACACGTTTGAATAACCGTCTTTGGAACGGAGGAAAAAGAAAAGAGAAGAAAAATATTCAAATTGGAGAAAACCGCCTTTTATTCGAATTACCGAGAAATTTTATTGTCCCACAATCAGGCACCATTATATACCGTGGGGAGAAGCCTCTAAGAATTTCCTCCACTTTCGAGATACCATTTACGAGATAATAAAGTTTGTTTGATGTGCGTCCCAACGAAGAAGAAGAAAAAAAAAAAAAATGAAAGAAAAAAGGAACGCGTGTCGCAGGTGTTTCACCTTTTTTTCGATTTTTCGAACGGAACAGACACTCGCACTGTGCCTCCCGACACGTGTCACCTCAAGATCCATTTCCGGTTCTCACCGTCCAGAGGAGGCTTTCTCCTGTATTATTTTTTCCTTTTTTACTTTTCATTACTTCTTCTCAATCAATGATTACTACTTCTTCTGCCTTACTCTTCCTGTCTGGATGGATCGAACGAGGAGGATGAGGCGAAGGAGGGAATTATTGGCAGGATATACATGTATACACAAATATTATTACGAATTGCTCGATCTCGAGCTCGATAACCGAGGAAAATCTGTTGACCCCTGTCCCGTTGTTTGTCGCGAAAACAAAGAGCGGGGATCGATACAAAGGAGGTGGTCGATCGTGAACGGCGATAATCGGGGCGGGCGGAACGATTCCATACGTGTGGACGGAGCTCGTGCGAGGCTAAGTGTTTGTGTCGAGGGTTGGTCTCGACCAACAAAGGCCGACCTTGCGTCGTCTAAGCGTCCAGCTAATTAGGAGGTTTATTGTTACGGAGGAACGAACCCCCCCCCCCCATCTCTTCCTCTATTGGCGTCAAGCCAGTGATATATTGTCCGCATTGGATTCTTTTCCAATTTTAATCGGGCCTCGTTAGTAGTAGTCCATCGCATCGATTGTGCAACAACGGGTCGAAACGTGGATCGATTTAACACGTTGACTGCCACGCGTGTTTCTGTATCAAGTGTGCTTGATAGTAATTGTAATAATAGTAATTGTATGGGTAATAGTATTGAATAGTATAGTACTGATTTATATATAGTATATTTTGGATATTTTAATTTGGATAATATGACTAGTCGTAACAAATGTACTTCTTAGTTGTGAATTGTGTATAAATTATTCGTGTGGCTTGTATATTAGAGATTACCACAGCAGGTAATCATATCAGAGAACGATGTGTTCATAAACTATGTAATTGTCGTATCACCATGAGACTCGTGTTACAAAATTAGAAGATTTTTAGAGAATTATTAGCTGCAAAATTGTTAGGATTATAAAATACAACGAAACCTTGTCAAAACCTTTAACATAATATCGCCGCGTGGAAAAATAATTCTGATATAAATATTAAAAATTATGCATGAAAATTATGTTATTCGGATAAAAGACGACAAACAGACCGATCGAACGTACGAATTTAAAAAAGACGACAACTTTTTGTCCAAATTGTCCGGATTATTAACCTTTCTATAGAATGTTTTAAAATTTTACATTCAAAATAATTTTTTTATTATTCTTATAATAATTTAATAGTTTTATTACACCTCGTAGAATATCTTTCCAAATACTTACGAAGATCGTTCGTAAGTAGTCAAATAAGCGTCACCCGAATATGGGGAATTTAAAAAGACAACGACTTTTTGTCCGAATTGTCATCCTCAGCTTTTTATAGAATGTTTTAAAATTTTACATTCAAAATAATTTTTTTAATAAATTTTTTATTATTTTTATAAATATAATTTAATAGTTTTATTACAGAATATCTTTCCAAATACCTACAAAGATCGTTCGTAAATAGTGAAATAAGCGTCATATGGGGAATTTAAAAAGACAATGACTTTTTATCCAAATTGTTCGGATTATTAAGGTTTCTATAGAATGTTTTAAAATTTTACATTCAAAATAATTTTTTTAATAAATTTTTTATTATTTTTATAAATATAATTTAATAGTTTTATTACAGAATATCTTTCCAAATACCTACAAAGATCGTTCGTAAATAGTGAAATAAGCGTCACCCGAATATGGGGAATTTAAAAAGACAACGACTTTTTGTCCGAATTGTCATCCTCAGCTTTTTATAGAATGTTTTAAAATTTTATATTCAAAATAATTTTTTTAATAAATTATTTTTTTATTATTTTTATAAATATAATTTAATAGTTTTATTACAGAATATCTTTCCAAATACTTACGAAGATCGTTCGTAAGTAGTGAAATAAGCGTCACCCGAATATGGGGAATTTAAAAAAGACTTTTTGTCCAAATTGTCCGGATTGTCAACCTCATATATATACCTTTCTATAGAACGTTTTAAAATATTACAAAATAATTTTTTTAATAAATTATTTTTATAAATATAATTTAATAGTTTTATCACAGAACATCCTTCCAAATATGGGCAGTCAACGTGTTAAAAGTCCCTTTCCTTAGTGGTAGATTTATAATGGAAGAAATTTTACAAATTTCGCGTTAAAAGGAAGGGGAGTTAATTTGAAAAGGGGAAGAGGGGAGATGAAGGATAATTAGAGGAAGATTTTAAACGAGAGGTGAGTAGAGGTAAACGTTTGGTAGGTGGAACAGGTAGGCTTAAGCAGACGTTAGAACGTTCCACGGTTAAGAAGGGCTCGTAATAAAGCGGGCACGGTAACAACGCGTTTCTTGTGGCGAGAAACGTCTGACATCTGGGCCGACGTTATCTCCGCGTTATCATTTTTGAGATTAGCCGTAGTAGTAGTCGCGCGTTTGCTCTGCACCGTGCCGTGCTTTCTCTGTGTACCTTGGCTGTATCGCCACACCAAACTCCCCTCCTTCCACTTAAGCCACGTTCACGTAGAATCGAATCGAGAATTTATTCGAAGAAAGAAGCTTGTTCCTTCCTTTCTCTTTCCATCCTTGAATCGCTTTCTTATCGTTGGCAATTTTCCACCGAATGGAAAAACTCTCGATATTTTTAAAATCGAAAATTCCTTTCTTATATATATTCTCGATTCGTGGAACGGTGTGAAAAGGGCTTAAGAAGGGCGCGAGAGACCAAGAAGAAGACTGTCTGGTAGATTTTCCGGCATGAGAATGCGATAGCGTTTCTGGCTGAGCAAACACGAAGCGCTCGTGAAGGGGCACAGTTGCGTTTAAGTAATCGAGGATACGAGGATACGCTTGTCTCCTTCTCGAATCGTCCGCGATTACGATTAAAATCTGAAATCGTGATAACGATTCGAAACAAAAAAAAGAAAATTTTCGCCGATCGAAAAATCCCTAGACGCCAAACAAATCCTTCAAATTTCGCTGGATATTTCCTGGGGAAAAAAGAAAAAAAAAAAAAAAAAGAAATATCGCGATTATTTGTATAGAAGGATAGCTTCAGGCGGGAACGCATCGCCGTTTAACCACGCGACACAAATTTTTTAACATGTAACGTTCACCAAAAATGGCTCGCCATTTTTACAGTTGCGCGATGTAAATATTAGAGCGAGCTCCATCGTTCGCGCGAAAATCGAAGGGGGGGAGGGGGGGCCAATTGTGAGCCGATCGGGCGGAAAAAAATATCGCTTTCGAACGCGAAAGCTGGCAACCGCTCTCCCTCATTATTCTCGAGCCCTCTCCCGATCCTACAATGCCGGCTCGAGTAGCGCAACCTGTTCCCTTTCAGAACGGATTCGTTCCCGATCGGAGGA